TTCATACATGTTTATTATGTATATTTTTGCGCAATCAACAAAAGCAAGTGTTCCGATACTTTTGTCCAGGTACTGTATGAGCAAAGGAATTGAAAAACAAAAGATTAAATAAAAAAGACGGAGAAAACTTGCAAGAAAACGATTAGAAGAAGAGTATTTATATACCCGAAGTTTAAAAATTAAATTACTGCGTTTTATTTGTTTAGCTAATCTAAGTTAACTGATTATGACGAAATATAATGTATGTTTACTTATTATTATTAGTAAAATATAATACAGTAATAGAATGAATTTGTTTTCGAAAAAAAAAAAAGGGAATTTATATTTTAAAAAAAAATCATAATTTTGTGTTATAATTGCCATGAAATAAAATTTTGATTATCATTGAAAATATTATTGATATTATTATTATTATTATTAATATTACTACTAATAATCATTTGAGGTGGGATGTTTTTAATATTATTATTGCCATCATTATTACCATTAGTAAAGTAAAATGAAGAAGGTATTGGAGGCAACAATCTATTAATGTTAATATTATGATTAGGAAGAATCATGTTATTATCATTATCATTGTTGTTGCTGTTACTATTATTATGTTGTTTTGGATCATTCATTAATATTAATGATGATGGTGAAGATAATGAATTAATTAATTTTTCCTGCCTGTGAGGTGGATAATAATAAGGAGGTGATGGTGGCGGACAAATTTTTTTTGATAATCGTTGACATTTCATTAAACTTAAATGTTGCTGATGTTCTTGCGTATGAGTTTTATAATGTTTCTTTAAATCTTGAGGTCTTTTAAAGGCTTTTTTACATGTCTAAAAAGAAAAAAAAAAAAAAAAAAGTCAATTATATGTTACATAAAAACTCATATGACACAATTAAAGGCATATTTATTTGTTTTATTTTATACCTGACATAGGTGTGGTTTTAACGGTACATGAACACGTAAATGACTTGTTATGTGGTCTCTTTTAGATGTTTTTATATCGCAATCCCCCCAATGACAATTAAGACATAAATTTCCCATAGATTTACGTCCTACATGATCGGTTGAAAGATGAGCGTATAATGATTCTGCATCGTCAAAAGTACGATAACAATTAGTCCATCGACAAAATATTTCTTGGCTATTTCCTTCTGATGATGGTGGTGAAAGTGGCATTTTTTTTATATTTATGTTAAAAAAAAATTTTTTTTATAATAAAAAATAATAATGATTATTTTATTTTGACGAAAAAGAAGAATAAAAATTTTTTTTTTTTTTATTAAAAAAATCCCTCGATTTATATAAATTTTTTTTTCCTCATATGATTTTCAAAAAAAATATTGCCAAGAATTTTTCGCTGTATAAAAAAAACTTAAATTTTGTTTACATTTCAATTTTCTGGAGTTAAAGTTATTTGTGTAATTAATCTAGGCAGAAATATTATATTACTTATAACTAAAATTAATGAACATATTTGGGAATGATGAGTTGTACAATGTAATCATTTACCAAAAATTGTTTGTAATAATCCTTGGCGCTTATCATGTATATTGCGTTTTTTCATTTAATTTTGAATTTTTCTATCAGGATTTTTCTAATTTCTTGGTTAGATTTCAATTGAATCTTTGTTGCCAAGAAATCAAGAAAGAAGATAGTGAGTTAGAGAACGCTAAAAAGAAAGTTTCGGGTTATGAATTTTAACTTGGCAATTATTCTTGAATGAATTAATTGTCTATGAAATTAATTTAAAGAAATTGATTGATTTGTTTGTTAACAACGGCAACAATATGTATGAATTGATCGGAACAATATATTATCGATATTTTCGTATGGGTAAATAATTTATTATTAATGATATCTTTTCCCGGATTTTTTTTTATGCAAACAACCTAAAATTTTTAAGGTTATTATAATTGGTTACACAGTGGCAAAGTAAGTGACATCAAAACTTTTCAATTATTATTTCTAAATTATTCAATATAGTATTAATGGAGTAGCAAATAAATTCAACAAGGACTTCTTTCCAGCTTGTTAGTTTTGTTTTTGCTTTGTTGGTGGGCTGTTTCTTTTTAATCGCCTTTTAAACTCTTCTTCATCACCTTTCAAATACACGAGTCTTTTTCAACATCCTGATCAAAGTTAATACAGTATATAAATTGTTATTAGTAGTGCGATTTCTTTTTCTTCCTGGCTGTCGTCAATAAACTTCCAAGGATTGAATCACAGACTCCGGCACTTTGTTTTGAAGAGCCAAGATCCTGGGCTTTATCTCTTGTAATAGCAAGAACTTTTTTGTATGATTTGAGCCAAGCTTACTAAGTCGAAATACAAAATTAAAATCAAAATCTTCGATTATTTCTTTCATAGTCGACTGAATATTAATCAGCAACGCATTACTTACGGTAGTACATTTAATAAACCAATCGCACGTCTCACATGAAGCTTGGTTTCTAGTATTATTGCACTTGGATCTTACCAGGACTGGCTACGTAACTCAAATGAGCACTTGGCTAAACTGACTAAACTATTTAGTCAATGTTAAGTCAAGTTTAGTCAAGTTTAGTCAAGATGATTGTTACTAAATTAGGTTTTTAACCCCTTTACGCTGCCAGCCCTGATACAAATAGAGAATCATGACAAAATTCTCAATTTTTATAAGTTGTGACAAAAGTGAACCAGTGTATTTACGATAGGGGATACTGTTTCTTTGATTTTGAATTCTTTGAGATATATATTATTAACTCTATCGTCAGATTTTAAATGGATCAATAGTATTCATATACCAATCACACTGGCGACATCCAATGAAAATAATTCATATTTGCTTTATTATCGAGAAGCATAGATTAATAAACAGAATGAGAGAAGCGTACAAGATGTTGTAACCTGCCCGCATTGCTCCCCATCAGGGAGTAATATGCCCTACTCAAATTAAAATTAATAGTTGCTGCTATTATTGCTCACATCAAAGGAGGGTGCATATGAAACATTACAAGGATGTCGACAGGACTAGTTGTCTAACCATTTATCATATGTTAGATTCACTCTATTACCATAGTCGTTATTAAATTGAGATTGTAGCCTGAATGTCAACCATTTTTCGTCCACATAAGAAATTTTTTTCATCATAACCACTACAAACTTTCCAGGGACTGACCCTTTTTAGTACCAGCTTACGTACATTTGTTTCTGCATGGGTTTAAGTTTTTCATCATCGTATTTACTTTGTGGATTGCTTTGTTTCCCCCCGAACAATCTATTGAGGGCTTCTAATAAGTCTTTTGATCGGCGACATTCGCACATCAACAATGTCTCGTAGCATAATGTTGATGTGTTACTTGCATTCTTAGGAACCAGCCAATATGTTTGTGTGTGTTGAACATTATCATGATTTATAACAAGAAAATTTGTGCTATAAAGAAATTATTTACTCGATTTAAATTAACATCCAAGGCAACACTTTTAATACTTAAAAAATATCAGCCAATATCTATATTATTTTTGGTAATAGTAAACAAACTGACTAAATTAACGAATAATTTCTTTTTAATGCTAATTTCTTTGTTTCGTTAATTCCTACTTCTTACTACGTTTTTAAATTCAAAAAAATAAAGGAAAAACAAGTGACATCGACTTGGTTGCTTGCCTAATAATTATTTATAAAATATAAAATCTAAAATATAAAATATTGTATAAATTATCTCAAAATCGTGATTTTGACGCTTGATGTTTCTCCATCGTCCATGAATGCCACATTTATCTATAATAAACTACCTTCTTGTTAAATTTAATTTTTTTATTATACAATTGGAAATATACTGAAAATCAAATGATCCTTTGATAGAATACGCATGTAACTCGAAAACGTCGGTCATTTATTTATATTATCAAGCGCTTTAAACCGTTAATTGCTGCGTTCGACTTGTCGAGTTACGTATTTACACGTGTAGATATTTTCGTCAAAATTTTGATTAAATTAACTAATTTTTGATTAATAAACAAATCAATGGATTTTCTTCATTAATATGCTTAGAAACACGCATTTCCTTATTAATATCATGCAAAAAATTATTTGGTTGCTTGTTGGTCGCTTTACTTTTTATTCTTCCCCAGTGTGGATTTCAATTATTAGGTAAATAATCAACGAAACTACATATCAACTATCATTTCTCATTAACCATATTTTACGGAATTGGAAAAAGGTCAGCAGCAGTAGAAAAATAAATGACAAGAATTATTTCTTCTTAATTTCTCCTCTATAAATCTAACTTTTTTTAACCCTCGGAACTATTTTTCAAAAGCATCTAAAAGTGACATTCACAACCATGTAAAACAACTCTCTGATGTCAAAGAGCCTGACCCCGCTTTAATTAATTATCCCAAATTCTCGTTGGACCAACCAAAACGATCAGAATGCATACAATAGGGTCATAAAACATTTAATATTCGTCGAGCGAATCAGCCAAGAGACAACAATTCATCTTACATTTTTCACTCCCGAGATATGCATGAACTTTTCAGTGTACGTAAAGCCATCAAAACTCTGCATGTATTCCACCTTCCTACCGTGCCCAAAATTCTGGTGGTCAGCTCGTACCAATTGGAACGGCCTGGTAATTTTCAAGATCAAACTGATTTTGTGGAAGAGCGGCTTTTTTTTCTTGTATAGTAAAGTCTTAATTTTCAGAATTTAACAATTCGGAGATTCCTGTTCTTTAATCTCTTAATCTCAATCATTATAAACAAAGTCAATATAATCAATTATATTTTTCACCTTATGAGAGAACACTTGTCAAGAAAATGGACTTACCTCCACAAATTTTTGGTTTCACGACCAATTGCACATGTAAAGTTACATTTGTCCACCGCATAATTCATTCTTATAACGGATGATGTAATAGAAGTTTGATTCCCAGTAGCAGTTGTTTCTAACCTAATGCTTTGGCGTATCAAAAAAGGTGTATTTATTAATTCCATGCGTACAAACTTCATTAGTGTTAAACTCAGCCTCTAGGAACAGTTTTTTTATTGATAATTATTTTGAGAAAAATTATTGAAAGTGGTGGGTGACACAATATTTTTGTTTGATCTATATAATCTATATAGAGATGATAATAAATAAACAAATGGGAATAAATTGTCAACAAAATGCAAACTATTTTTATTTTAATCAAGCTTCTAATATTATTTTCTGTTTCTTCTTGGCTAATATTATTTTCAATAACACCTTCCTTCACTGAGAGACAAAAACAACAAAAACAAGAAAAAACATTTCATGAAAATAATAATAACAACAGCAATATTATCACCAATAAGGATATTTGTTCTATATCCAGTAGATCAAATGATTGTGGATATTTTGGTATAACAGAATTAGAATGCGTGTCTAGAAATTGTTGCTGGAGGCCAACAAACGAAGAAAATGCTAATTGGTGTTTCTATAAGGATGGAAGTCATTACACATGTAGCGTTGATAAATTTGATAGAGCACCTTGTGGTTTTGAAGGAATTGATAAATATTATTGTAACAATATACTTAATTGTTGTTGGGATGATAGTGATGATGATGTTAATAATAATGTTGATTGTGATGGCGTTGATCAGCAACGGCATTACAGATCCTCATCACCTTTAAAATGTTTTAATCGTATACAAAGGTGTGATGGATATAAAGTTAAAAATTATAAAAAAGACCTTCAACATGGTCTTAAATGGGAAATTAATTTGGAACTGATTTCTGCTAATTATAATAATAATAATATCGGATGTGGCATTTTTGGAAAAGATTCAAAGTATTTAAAAGTGATTGTAGAACATCAGACAAAAGATAGATTACGTGTGAAAATATTTGATCCATATGATGCAAGATTTGAAATACCAGATAATATTGTACCGATTCCAGATATTGAATTGAATTCAGAACAAAAACAAGATATCAACTACAATTTCACATTTACCAAAGATCCATTTACTTTTTCAATTTATCGTATTAATAATAATGGTGATGCCGAGAAAATAATTGATACAAATGTCAAAAATATGAATACTCTTGTATTCGAAGATCAATTTATGGAAATGTCATTTGAAGTTGTTTATTATTATTATTAGAAATATTTTAAATATATTAATTAGTTGGATTATTTATATATTTATGTATATTAATATATATATATATATATTTATTTATTTATATTTATATGTATGATTAGTTACCAGACGATCCATTTATATATGGATTAGGTGAAATTGTTTATGCTTTACGAAGAAATCCAAATGGAACTTCACAAACTATTTGGGTAAATAATCACATTACGTTTATATATATCCATAAAATAATTTTCTAAAGTATTTACTCCCTCCTCTTCTATATAGACAAGAGATGCTCCTACTCCGATCGATCAAAATGGTAAAAATGTTAACTATTATTATGGTTATAATAACAATAATAATTAACCAAAAATATGAATTTTTGTTTTTATTTTATTTTAATTAAAAAATTAGTTTATGGTGCTCATCCATTTTACTTAGAGATGAGAAATGGTAAAGCTCACGGAGTGGTAAGTGACGATTATTACTATTATCAATAATTATAATTATTAATCGAATAATAATCATGACAATAATAACAACAATAATAATATTTTTATTGTTCAAATATATTTTTTTTAAATTACCAACTAGTTTTTAAGAAATTCAAATGGAATGGATGTTAAAATTTTACCTGGAAATCCTGCAAAATTAACTTGGAGAGGTAAAATAAAAAGAAACATACATTCTATTAACATATATCTATTTATTATTCATTGATCCATCTTTATTTTTTTAATAGTAATTGGTGGAGTATTTGATTTTGTTGTATTTCTTGGACCATCACCTATGGATGTAATAGCACAATATACAGATGTAAATATTATTAATTATTAATTATTTATTTAATTAATAGTTATGAATTAATTTATTTATTAATCTATTAAACTTTAGGTCATAGGTAGAAGTGAGCTTCCGCCATATTGGAGTTTGGGATATCATCAATCTAGATGGGGATACAACAATGTAATTATTTAATTATTAAAAATATTTTTTATTACGTTAATATATATTTTTAAAAAAAACCATACACACGCATATGTATAGTTGTCGGTTTTATCAGATGTTGTTTCAAGATTTCGTAAAGAAAATATCCCACTAGAAACAATTTGGACTGATCTTGACTATATGGAAGGTCGTAAAATATTTACTTGGGATAAATATAATTATCCCAAAGATCAAGTAAAAAAATTTATTGATGAATTACATAGAAACGAGCAACATTATGTTGTGATAGTTGATCCTGGTTTAAAGATTGAAGATGGTTATGAACCATATGATGATGGTGTTAAAAGAAATATTTTCATCAAAAATTCAGATCTTGATAACGTTGTTGGAAGAGTATGGCCTGGTAAGTAATAAACTTGTTTTGGTTTGAAAAATTTTTTTTTTAAGAAAAGGTATTTTTTAATGTAATTTTTTATAGGTTTGACAGTATTTCCTGACTGGTTCAACAATGAAACAGAAATTTACTGGGGAGATATGATTGAGAAATGGTTGGATGGCATTAAATTAGATGGGCAAGTTAAAAATTGAATAATATCATCAAAAGTATTATTAATAAATATCATTTGTATATTAACAATTAATAATTTTAATAAATATTAATTAGCATATGGATTGACATGAACGAACCAGCCAATTGGTGCAATGGTGAATGCGGTAAAGAAGATGGAGATGATGTTGTATTGAATAAGCCATTATATAGAATAAATAATGGTGGATCTAAACTACAATTGAATACTCTGACGCTTCCAATGAATGCAATACACGTGAACGGTTTTACTGAATACAATGTACACAATTTATTTGGTCATATGGAAGCTATTACTACCCATAAAGTGTTAGCTGAAAGAATAAATAAAGGAAAACGACCTTTTATAATTTCAAGGTCTACCTTTCCTGGTTCTGGAAAATACACTGGACATTGGACAGGTGATAATAAAGCACAATGGGAACATCTATATTTGTCTATACCAGGAATACTTAATTTTCAGTTATTTGGAGTACCTATGGTTGGGGCAGATATTTGTGGGTTTGATGGTCCTACTAATGAAGAATTATGTTTACGATGGATGCAATTAGGGTCATTCTATCCATTCATGAGGTATAAAATATACTAATTATAATTATACAGAATGATGACAATGATAATATTAATATAATTTCTATTATTATAATAGAAATCACAATTCTTTAATGGATCCAAGTCAAGAACCTTATATTTGGCCTTCGGTTAAAAAAACTTCACGTAAATATTTAAGTGTAAGATATTCTTTATTACCATATATTTATACATTATTTTATGAAAATAATAAGCATGGTAAAATAATCTGGAGACCGTTGTTCTTTGAATTTCCAAACTCCAAAAGATCTTTGTTTATCGATAGACAGTTTTTGTTAGGTTCAGGATTATTGATATCACCTGTGCTACAACCAAACACTACAACAGTAGAGAATGCTTTTATTCCAGATGGTTTATGGTATGATTTTTATACAAAAAAGTTATCATATAACACAACAAATCATAATGGTGAGAAAGGTGATGGAGAATTTGTTAACATAGAGTCGCCTTTAGATCATCTCTCTTTGTTAGTTAGAGGTGGTAATATTTTACCATTGCAATACCCTGGACTAACAACAAAATCTTCACGAAAATCAAATTTCTATTTAATTATTGCGTTGGATGAATCCGGCTACTCAACCGGAAATCTCTATTTGGACGATGGAGAATCTTTGACAGTTGAACAAAATTATTCTTATATAAATTACAAAGTATTGGATCATGCTAATTTAATATCAAATTCTACATTCTACGGTTACAAATTATCATCAAATCAAGTCATTGATAAATTAGTAATCATGAATGTAAAAATTGAAAATAATAATGACAAAAATTACAACATTAAATTAATTTACAATAACACTGCATTAAATAATTATAACTATACATTATTCAATCAAACATTAATTTTAACGGATTTAAAATTATCGATAAATTCTTCATGGAACTTAACATGGATTATATATTAAACAAGTTATTATTTATTATATATTGATAAAAAAGAATATATTATTTCATACGCATAAATGCAAACACAATCATACTACCAATAATAAGACCTTGTAAAAATCTATCATTATAATAGGATTTCTTTAAAGGTTTTTTATCATCTGCATGAAATATAAGTTTAAATTATTTTAATTAATATTTACATTAATATATAATTTTTTTTTAAAAAAAATTTAAACTACTGACTATTTATTTCCTTTTCCTTTTCTTTTAGATCATCATCTTCATAATTATAATCAAAATAATTAAAATATCCTTCCCTTTGATCATCATCGTCATAATTATCATGTTGTTTATTATTATTATTATTATTTTTTAATAAAATTTTATCTTTCAACATATCTCTTCTCAATGATTTAAC